AGGTATTAGAGGAAGCAATTTGATTTTATTTCAGTTATTTTATTTTTTTGGAATTGTAGTAAATAAACCATACTATGGGATAGTATGGAATAAAGTGACAATATGGTAATGAATACAAAATTGTGTTTGAAAGTATTTTAATAAAATAATTTCTTCAAAGCTACAGGAATCAGTCATAGAATAATCTTGAAATAGTTTTATAAAGAGCATACAAATCTTACAGAGAAGTGCTGTAAATTTACTTTTTAAAGAAAATATGTTTTATTAGTTAGTTGTAGAAACGTTTCTGTGATAATTTCGTTACTATTTTATAAGGTATTCAAAAGTTTATTTTATAAACGTTTCTATGACAAATATATAAAAACACTATTATTGCCTACAACTGTATTATATTCACAGCTCGTCTAATATAATCAATTAGCGTTTTGGAAGTGATTATAAAATGATAATGATGTCTTCGTGAATGGAGATGTTACCGCCTCGAATATTATTTCTTAAAACTTTTTGGTGCCACTGGAGTTAGGAATAGCAGATATGGAATTTTTCAAGATAATGAATGTGTTTCCGATTTTTAAGTGGTTCAACTTTACCTGTATAATTCTTCCGTATGGTTGAGATGTTTTTCATGATCCATTCAACATACAAAAAACAAAATTCAAAAAGTTCAGAATTCATGTCTAGGTCTGATTTTTGGAGTACGAAGACGAAAAAGAATTTCGCATAAGCTAGGGGAAATTAGATGGCTGAATATGGAGAACAGGAGGAAGCTACATTATGCTAATCTATGTCACAGCGGTATTGTCAATAAAAAACCACGGTGTCTTTATCGTAAAATTATTTATAGTACTGATATACACAACATAAATATTACAAATAGAGGATTCTGTCTCTCTGTAGAGTAGGGAGGGTGAGTGTAGGCCCACACACTTAGGACACATGTAACCCATTGTACATCTTCCCAAGAAGTTGTCCTCCTGGGTCATTGTCCATCCTGTCCTTTCCAGGAAGGTGTATCTGGGAGACATTTCCTTCATATCGGCAGGTGTAGGTCAAGACTCGCTGAATACACATTCTCTTATTAACGATAACCCCGGACATCCACATAGGACCTGACATGTTCACACATCCTGCATAGAGGTGTGTCCACTAGCCCCATATTATGGAGGTGTTTCCTTAGTTGACAGTGGCCAGTCAGAAATCCTACTGTTAAAAATTTCTTTATGGAAAAAAATCCAGAATTCTTTATTTTTTATATGCTTTACTATTTGAATTCATATTGATATTTTTCTTTTATTTTGTTTAGATATTTATTAAGAATATTTTTTCAGATTGCGCTATATGTAGCTGGCATATGCTTTGTGATTGGCTCGCTTAGTGTTTGGATTATGGTTCCAACTTTTCTGATTGGTATTTTATTCTACTTTTTGAGGGTTATATTTCTGAAAACGAGCAGAGACGTTAAACGAGTGGAATCAGTCAGTGAGTTATTTAAATTTTATACCTGAATTCAAAGCCGTATATAGGGTGTTTCAAATTCGATTCTCCGCATTGGGATCTCGGACACTACGAGAGATACGAAGATGGTTGAATTGGAGCAAAGTTGCACATTCACCTGACTAACAATATGCCGTTGGGAAAGTTCAGAAATTCCGAGTAATCCGGAGATATGAAAAAAAAAGGAAATTTCCGAAAATGATTTTAATTTTTTTCTGGCTTCATTTTTCGAAGGATTCGAAAATAAATTGCACTTCCACATTGTCACTTTTTTCTTGTTATATAATGTTTTCAGATTTCCTATCCGACGTTTCATCTTTCGACCACCATCATCAACTTTATTTTTTCTTATGAGCGCTACATTGGAATGTTTCTGTTTTGAAGATAACCAGATTTTATCTTTTCGATGATGTATCACAAGTTATCATTCTTTTTCGAAAAATTGGAGATATTGAAAAAAAAAATCTTATCATAATAGGCTATGACTCTGATGTTTCTAAATTTGACTTTCAATTTGTTACCCCCAAAGACATTTTGTTATTGTATAAGTCATTGAATTTTTGGCGCAAAATTGCTTTCACGAATGAAGAAAAAAGAGATATGATACAAATTTATCACAAACACGATAGAAACAGTGAAACAGTGTTAGGACATCGGAAATGTATTCAAACTTGTATCCCGAAAGACGAACCACATCGAAGTATGTTCAAGTTATTGGATCAAAATCTCACCGAGTTTGGTTCATTTGAGAAACCGAGATTAAAGTTCGGAGACAGAATGGACCAGGAAACTGAAGAAAATTTGATAAATGAGGTATGTATGAGGTAAGTTATATACTGTGTCCTTTTCAATAAGAATTAATAATTTGCAGATAAACATGAAACCGGGGAAATCTACACATCAACTTTACTTCGAAATGAATATTTGTTATACAAGTGCCTGGAGACATCTCAGAAAAATCGGTTCAACATGTTACAAAATATACATATCTCAAAAATTGCATCCAAGTCATCCTGAAAGGCTATTAAAATTTTGTAATTGGTTAATAAGAAGACCTGATTTTCTTTTTTTCCTGGAAAATGCAATTTGGACAGATGAAAGCACATTTATGAATTGTGGGATATTTAACCGAAATAACGAACACAATTGGAGCTGAACAACCCCAAGCAGTTCCGAGAAATTCGACCTCAAGTGCGATTTAGTATTAACGTGCGGGCAGGAACTCACAAAGATATAATTTTGGGTCCTCATTTATTTGACGGAATTCTTGATGGAGAAACCTATCACCAGTTTTTAATGTCGATTTTCGAAGACTATTGGGATGATCTACCTTTGGTAGACTATAACAACATCTGGTTTCAACATGATGGTGCTCTACCGGACACTACCAGACGAGTATCTAATTACCTGAATGAAAGGTTTGGTGATAAATGATTATGGAATAATGGGACGATGAGGTGGCCAGCAAGGTCTCCAGACTTTAGTGTTATGGATACATTCTCATGGGGTACACTGAAAAATAGAGTTTATGGTCACCGGGAATATCAAAATATTGAGGACCTTCAACACAGCATTGTTAGAGGGTTCAGAAGATTGAGAAGGAGGGAAATCAATCGTAATCGTAATATTCGAAGAAGGGCACAGTTGTGTTAACATGAACAAGGTCAGCATTTCGAGAATTTGCTGTGATTTACTTTTGTCTTTACATTTCAGGTAATTATTGTTATTTGTTCAAAGTTTTATTCTCTTTGAAAAATACACAATGTTTAATTTACCTCATATACCCCTCATTTATCAAATTTTGATTGATGATTCTGTCTCCGTATTTTTACCTCGGCTTTTCAAATGAACCAAACTCGGTGAGATTGGGATACAATAATTTGAACATAGTTCGAGGTGGTTGTCGTCTTTCGGGATACACATTTAAATACATTTCAAATATCGTAACACTATTTTTAACATATTTGTGATAATTCTGTATTATATCTCTTTTTTCTTCATTCGTGAACGCCATTTTTCTCCAAAAATTCAATGACTTGTACAATAACCAAAATGTCATTGAGTGTAACAAATTGAAAGTTGAATTTAGAAACACCAAAGTCAAAGCCTATTATGATAAGACATAATTTTTTTCAATATCTCCAATTAAAAAAAAATGATGTAGCGCCCAAAAGAAAAAGTAAAGTTGATGTGGTGGCCGGAAGACGAAACGTCGGAAAACAAATCTATTTTGTAGAAGGAAAAAGTGGCAATATGGAAGTGCAATTTATTTTCGAATCCTTCGAAAAATGAAGTCAGAAAAAATAAAAACCATTTTCGAAATTTCTGTTTTTTCCGGATATACTCGGAAATTCAGAACTTTCTCAACGGCATATTGTTGGTCAGGTAAATGCGTAACTTTGCCTCAATTCAACCATCTTCGTATCTCTCACAGTTTCCGATATCCCAATGGTGAGGATCGAATTTGAAACACCCTGTACGTGTATCGTTAATAATTTTCAAAATTATTTTTTGAGATTTGTCATTTTTTTCTGGTGACTTGTTTCATTTGATGTCTAACAAAAATCAGGATATATTCTCGAAACAATATGAATCAAGAACTATACAATAAGTTACTTGTCCTCCGTCAGCTATATCTGTGCCTTATATGCGCAAAGTCACTTCATTTAGTAATGTTCATTTAGCTCACTCAACAATAGTCTTCATGAAAATTCTATAGATAGAGACGTTTGAAAAATAAAACTGAATAATCACTAAATAATCACACGTATGAAGAAATCAGAGTGTCAATGTTCTGAAATTCTCTGCTTTTTCCAATGGTTGCTTCAATAGGAAAAGTAACAAAATAAAGGGTCTTACCTTAGAGTTCAATTCACTGAACAATTCATCTTCTGATAGGAATCATATTTCCAGAAAGTATGAAGGAAACTCAAGGCTTTTGTTATACACTCCTCCAACTAGGACTCCTCTGATTCTTGAGATCCTTGACCCCAGCGGTCTTCAGCAGTGGCCTCAGATATATGTTTTACAGTGCAGTCAGATACGTTAAAGAATATATCCCCGTTGTGTCCATCCATTCGAATGTGATACAAAAATACTTCTATGATCTTTGATTCTTTGGGAAAATGTTCTCCCTGTTAGGCCAGCTTATATACTCCTGTTCTGTCCGACACCGGAGTTTGTCTTTATTGTTCTTAATGAATTTACTGAGGCTATTTTACTTAGACATTTATTCTTTCCATTAAAACCCTTAAAACAATAGAATTGGTTATGAATGGAAAGTATTTCACCAATTGAAACAATTGGACTGATTGAGTGTCTCTTAGACAAAAACCACGTGAATCCACTGAAGAAACAGGAAATTTTAGATTTACTTACTATTTGTCTACCTTAAAATTATTTCAGATAGACAATTAGGCAAGTTCATTGAATATGCCAATTCCATCCACCCGTCAATAAAATTTACTATTGTGAGGGAGGTAAATGATTTAATAAATTACCTTGACTCAACCATTACGAAAAATAACAATAGACATGAATTTGCAATTTTCCACAAATCATCTTACATTATCAAACATAATTCTTCCACACACCCATACCAGTATAAAGTTGCTGCATTCAATAGTATGCTTCAGATAATATTGATTATTCCACTGCCTGAGAGTAATTTCCAGAGAGAGCTCAGTTTGATCAAACAAATCGCGAGTAACAACAGTTATAAGTTAGATATTATAGACTCCATTCTTTCCAAAAAACTTCAAAAGCAAGCCATGGACCTGGTCTACCCAAATTCAAGATGCGATAACGAGGACATTGTCATATTTGGGTGAACCAACTAATAATATTGCCCGTTTTTTGAAGAAAGAATGCGTAAACGTAGCTTACAGAATGAATAATAGTGTGAGGAGTAAATTTATTGAAAATAATAAAGACAAAACTTCGGTGTCGGATAGATCAGGAGTATATAAGCTGACTTGTGACTCTTGCCCAAAACTGTATATTGGTCAAACAGGGAGAACATTTTCCCAAAGAATTGAAGGACATATAAGAAGTTTTGTAAATAGAAAGACCAATTCCACATTTGCAAACCACCTTTTAGCAGAAGGACATGAGTTCCATCATGAATACGATGTGTTACATTTAAAAGAGAAAAGTTTGAAATTCAATCTTCTGGAATGTTTAGAAAGCAATAGATTCAGGAATTTGTGTGATTTACTGAATGATCAATTAGAATTGAATACTTCCCCGTTACTGAATATTTTTTCAAATGTGGAAACTGGGACATGAGCTCAGGTAATTGAATTCATCACAAACTCAGGTAAAAATCAGGTACTTCAAATTGTAAAATAAGGTATATTAGGCATTGAATATGTAGAATGTAGTCAGTAAAGACATGCCCGAAAAAGTAGTTATATGGCAAAACACGTGTTGTGTTTTTTCTAAAAACATTTTGTGAAAATCTTACAATAAAGTGTTTTTTGAATACGCTATGAATGAAAGTAATCAAACTAAACAGCATTCTGAATATGATTTATTTCGCGTACTACTGCAGACTTCTCAGAAGAATCCCAGATCTATGAAAATAGCAGTTGAAATGATTGGTTACAATCTGCGATATAAAATTGGCAAAAAAAGTTTCTTGTGGGAAAGAAAGTTTTTGGCTTCCTGCTACTCCATCTTGATGCAAAAAAAGGATGAGGGAAAGCCAAAAACTTTCTTTTTCTAAAATTAATCACTTCAAAAAATATAACCCCTTCAATTCAAATAATATTCCTCTTGGCTGGGATTAAATCAAATGAATGAATGAATATCATTACGATGTCATCGATGACATAAGCAGATCAAGCTTATTCCGTGACATTGAAAATCGTAATTCATGAATGAATTGAGAAATGAGTAGAGAAAATTATCTTCTGTATAATTCAGTGTTCATATAGAAGTATTTGTTTCGAAAGGATTTTTTTTCTTTCGTGTAATTCAATGTTTATATGAAAGTAGCTGTTTCAGGAGGACTTTCTTTCAGTTTGTATCTGGAAGTTACTTCTTTGCATGATCTACACATCCATGTATAGAGTTACTTATTTTCAAATTGATTACTTCCTTCCTTTCTTTGGAAGATTCCCTCTTCTTTTTTTTGTATCAAGATGGAGTAGTAGAAAGCCAAAAACTTTTTTTCCAAAAATTAATCATTCCTAAAAATATTACCCCTTCAATTCAGGTTTCTTGTGTTCAGATTGTGTCGCGCATAGCATAACATGAAAAGTGGAAAATTGGAAGTTTCGTTCACTATGTTTCTTCTGAAGTTGGTGGAACCTAATAACATCACATGGCTGAAATATTAATATCTGAATGATGACGTTGTCAAAGACTTGGCATATTTTTTTTTGTATTCTAACATGATGATTTATTCGTTTCCATAATTGACTTTATTTTTTTGACAAATTTTCGTTTTTGCAGCCCGAAGTCCCATATACACTCACCTATCAGCATCTCTTCAAGGCCTGACCACCATAAGGGCTTTCAAAGCCCAGGAAATACTCAAGAAAGAATTCGATAAATACCAAAACTTGAACAGTGCTGCTTTTTATATGTATCTGGCCGCGACGAGAACTTTTGGTTTCTGGTTGGATTTAAACTGTGTTGTTTATATTTCTTCAGTATTGATTGTATTACTGTTCGTCAAAAGCGGTAAGTATTTAAAGAAAATGCTTTTGTAATAATAAAACAAATAACATAACAATAATCATGATGTGAAATTTTGAACCCAAAAGTGTTGGTTGATCATATCTTCTCATTCATTCCAGTTTGCAACCATTGCCTCATTCATATTCGTTTGTATTGCAATGTATTCCATCAATCTTTATTGAAAAAACGTGAAATATGTCAATATTAAAATTGAGTGATTTTTTAGTCACCTGCCGATTAATATTGAATTCCTATATTTCATTGAAGTCAATAATGAGTTTCTTTTGAAAATGATTAAATGAATACTGGATAAAGTGAATGAAACTCCCAAAATTTTGGTAGTATTACGTAACATTATTTGATTGAGTAACTGGAATAACCGCCAGAAACACTGATGTTTCACCAAAGAATAACAAACATTATCAAGTATCTGAACAGTTTTATGAATGAATAGTTATACGAAATGAAGAAAAATCAGGTGGAAGTAGGAATGGAAAAATGAATTATCACTTGTCTTCATTATATTTTGAATTCAGTAACAACACATTTCTTATGTAATTGGGCAAACTGGTATGAGTAGTGCAATGATTTTTTCCAGTTTCTTTTATTTGTGTGGTTTTCAAATGATTCATTTCTCTGGTGAGATGACTGCAAAAATCGATAAGAAAAATTTCAGTACACATTTCGGCTCTTCTAGATTGAATGGAAAACATAATGTATCAAATGAAAATTCAGTAAGTTTCTACGTTTACGGAATATATTTATTTTTACTATAAATAGTAATTCATAATTTCGTTTTAAAGTTAAATTTTATGATGATTTCGACGGTATCAACACCGATTTTGTTTCAGTGCTAAAAATATATATCAAATATTGTAATTTTTAACGAATCACACCGTAATAAATGATTTCGATTCATCAATGTATTGTTGCCAAGTTTGCCGGCTTTGGAAATAAAAAATAATCATATTCATATTGAAATGAAAATTGGAAATGAAATAAGTGGCGAACTGATTATACAATTCGGTATACCACAAGGTTTTGGGACCGATACTTTTTCTCATTTTAATTAATAGTATAACAGAAATCAACAATTTCATAGGAGATATAATATGTTATGCCAATGATACTGCTCTAATTTACATGGAAACATCATGGCATGAAATGAGAGAGACAGTAGAAAAAAATTTACAAAAAAGATACATGTGGTAAAATAGTACCTACTAAACTATCACTGAAAGTAAATAAGACCAAGTATCTGACCTTTTGCCCCACCCTTCGTTATCAACCCATAAACTACAAAATAGAAATGCATAAACCGCACTGTGATAATCAAGATGATTGCGACTGTCAGACCATAGAACAAACCACATCTATAAAATACCTCGGAGTTATATTAGATCAGCAACTCAAATGGACGGAACATATCAACTTTGTAACAAAAAGGCTCATAGTATTGATCCACACTTTTTATGAATTACGTGACATAATATCAAAAAAAATCTTATAACACTCTATACCTCTCTCGTCGAATCTATAATAGAATATTGTATTCCTGCTTGGAGAGCAACATTCAAAAATTCTANCCAATTCAACAACTCATCGTTGAAATGAAGTATAGTTATTCATAATCGCTCACTAGAAGAATATAAAATTCCTGAAGGAATTTAAAAACAAATAGATTTTTTTGTTGAGAAATGATCTCTCAAAGTTTTTTTATTAGGAGAATGACTGTCCGGAAAAATACTTTAAGTTCTGTTGTCTTTGTTGATTTTTTCAACTATGTGGAAATCCTTGATTAAGGTAATTTGTTGTGATGAATGAAGCAATAGCACTTGAGAGATCTGATTTAACAATTTTTGAAAATTTGAACAATTTCACAGAAACCTTTGGCGGAAACATGGGTTTGGCCCTAACTCAAGCCATGGACCTGACCGGAATGTTCCAGTGGGGCATGCGACAGTGGAGTGAAATGGAAAACCAGATGACTTCCGTGGAGAGAGTTCAAGAATACGCCGACCTGAAACCTGAAAAACAGGAAGACACCGTTAAGGAACCGCCGAAATTCTGGCCCGAAACAGGCATGATCGAATTTAGAGACATGTCTCTTCGATACTCACCTGATGATCCTTGCGTTCTGAATAATCTCAATTTCATTATCAAAGCCACGGAGAAAGTTGGTATTGTAGGAAGAACAGGAGCAGGAAAATCATCTCTTATACAAGCTCTTTTCCGTTTGGCAAGCATCGAGGGTAGTATTTTGATAGACGATGTTGACACAAGGACAGTGGAGCTGAAAAAACTGAGGTCAAAGATATCTATTATCCCACAGGAACCTGTTTTGTTTTCGGGGACACTCAGAAATAATTTGGATCCATTCAACGAGTTCAGCGATGAGGTAGATATCATTTATATATCTTTCAGACTGCGTATAGAGAATATGACAACAAATCATTTCATTTCCCACAAATAGGTACTGTAGTCGAATTCAACCAAAGTTTTGACTATTCACCAACTCAATTCGAAACGCATCTAGTATTGTGAGTGTTGAATTGTTAAGGGGTTGGTCTTCATAAATTTGACTCTAGCCAAAATGATATGCCTACATTTTTACTTTTTTTTCTTATTACCGCTGTTTCCATATTCTCCAATCTCGATGTATTTTGGAACCTGTAAATTTTCAGCATGTGATGGAAAAAATGTAAAAATTAAAGAAGAAAATAAATCTGTCGTCTGACAAATGATTTCTATTGAAAATACACTCTTTCAGCTATTATGGAATGCTCTGGATGAAGTGGAACTGAAGATCGCTGTTGCCGATCTCCCGTCAGGTCTGGACAGTAAAATGGCCGAAGGCGGAACCAACTTCAGCGTGGGTCAAAGACAACTGGTTTGCCTCGCTAGAGCCATTTTAAGAGACAACAAAATCTTGGTCTTGGACGAAGCCACGGCTAACGTGGATCCACACACAGACAGTCTCATCCAGGAAACCATCAGGAAAAAATTCGCCAATTGTACAGTATTGACAATAGCTCACAGGTTGCACACCATCATGGATTCCGATAAGGTGTTAGTGATGGACGCAGGACGAAAAGCAGAGTTTGATCATCCCCATCTTCTGCTGCAGAACAAAACAGGTGTATTTTATTCTTTGGTGATGCAGACTGGGAAAGCTACCGCCAAAAATTTGATGGCCATAGCGGAAGAAACTTACGAAGCAACGCACAGTCAGTTAGTCGAGAGTAGCTGATCATGGATCAAATTTGTGTAAGTTTTGGTAAGTTTTTCACTGCTGTGCTGAACTTCATTCTTCGTCTGGATTTTTATTTTGATCGTTAATATTCAGCTGTTCTTTATATATTCAAACTATTATTATAAAAATAAGAGATAGGTAACATAACACATGGATCGTCACCGAGGTGTGTTTATTAATAAGGTACCCGGTTAGAATCGTATCGTGAAAATCAGTTCAATTCTACGGCTATGTCAATGGTATTTTGTGAGTTTGTTGTTCGCGGTCTGCAGGTTTTTGAGCCAGACGTGTTGTTCACGACGGGGGTGGACATTATCGATGGCGATGAAATAACGGACGAAGTGTTAATGCGGTTTTCTCTGCATATTCTACTTCGTCCAGTGTTTATTTCTGGCTTTATATCATTGGTGTTGGTTATGACTTCATCCCTATTACTTGTGTTGAATGATCTAATTCGTTTGCAGTTCGAAGCAGGCAGCCAGACTTTTTTTTATATCGCCTACCTGTGTAATCTTGGATGGTAGTTTTGGGTTCTGTCCATCAGTACCTGTGTCACTGAACAAGATATCATTTATTTATTTATTTACCAATATAGGGGTTACAAACAAATTAACAAATCCAATAGAGAACCCACTTTATAATTTTAGTTTAAGTGGGCTTTAAGAAAAAAGAATGTAAAGTTTAATTTTTTGTAAATTAAATTGGACAATCGAAGAATGATATAATTCTTATAAGAGTGACAGATACTACAGACATGATCACAACTTATCAATGAAATTTTTTTTCATCCTGCGTTTGAAACAGTCTAAGGAGATTTCAAAATATTGAATATCATCGCAAATTTCATTGAAGGTTTTAAGCATTTTATAAAGTGGTGAATTTTGAGCAGCATTTGTCCTTGTGCAAGTTAACTTAAAGAATTCTGTACGCCTCAACGTTCTACCCTGAACATTGAACTCAATTCTGGAATAAAGCTCTGGGCAGTGGACTAATCCTTTCATCAACTTGAAAATCATGATAAGATCCGTAACAGTTCTTCTATCCTTCATAGGCATAATATTGTATTGGCGCATAATGGGACTGTAATTGCTATTCCTAATTGGAAAATTCAATTTGTGACTAATGTAAGTTCATGTGGTACTTAGGATTCCAAACAACCGATCATATCAGCCTCCTTGGGAATCTAATATATAAAGTGTGAAAGCCCATTTGGCCAAGGTTTTATGAAATCAAATTTCAAGTTATGAAGAAATCACTACCAGTGGAATATTGTCTGAAGGAAAAGATCGACCCTCTGAACAGATTCAAGTTATTAGACTCTATAGTCTGGAAGCGTTGGCTCGTGGAATACCTTTCAATGCTTCATGTTCGGCAAAAATTGAATTCTCCGTCTAATCCTATAGAAGTCGGTACGATTGTTATTATCATTCAGGATAATATTCCTCCATTACAATGGCCATTGGCTGATATCGAGAAAACATTCCCAGGCAAAGATGGGATAATAAGAGCGGCGCTTGTACGAACGAAAAATGGTTCTTACACTCGCCCAACAATTAAACTTTGTCCTCTACCCAATCAGTAGGGACACATCGTTCGAAAATTTCACTTGTAAATATGTATATTTTTGCTTTTGTTTGTTTCAGCGAATGATGCGTTGAATACCTTTTGAGAGACTAGAGGTTTCGTTTTTTAAGTTTAGATTTGTTATCATATATAGTTTTTGAATTAAAATTCAACTGGGCGCGCCCAGGATGTTTCTGCCGTATTGAGAATATACAGCGTGACTCACGGTCGATGGTAGGTTAGACGTTTCTGGAAAACGCAAAGCATGATTTTTCTGAA